ACAGAGCGCGAAGAGCAAGGGCTGGAGGCAGAGGTGGGAGGGCGTTGCCGCGAGATCCCCAAGTACTGCCAGCTCTTCTGTAAGCGCGGCTTCTTGCTCCCAGTTGGCGATGGGTACGACGCAATCAAGAAGTGCAGGGAGGAATGCGAGACGAATTTTTCGGCCTTCCAGGTGCCTCTGCAGAAGTACGTGGAGGCGGGCTGCTGTGCTGCGTGAGGGAGCCGGTAGCCTTGTGTAGATGCCTTTTAAGCTTGCTGGCGAAGCGAGCATTAAGTACATTTTGAACCAGTTTTGTGGAGACCTCGTCGGGGCCAGCTGCTGAAGCACTGGCTTCATAAATGCCTATGGTCTCCCTATGTCTTATTCATCACTAAAGTGATGTAGCAGTGGCACTTTGTCAGCAGACTGCTTGTCCAGTGCATTTACAAATGTCAGGCCTCCAGTGTTCCACTTCAAGCGTGCCACGTAATTCCTTTCCATATAACTTCAATATACTCTTTCATCAAGCTTGACAGGACTGAAAGACCCAGGTAAGCAGCGAAACGCAACTACTGTACGATGGCAATTCATGGCAATGGTGATGGTGACAATAATTTCATGATAAATTTCATGATTATCACGATGACGATGATGCTGATGATGGTGCAATCCTGCATGTCGAATGACAATGAAGGAGCGTGAACAACAAACAAGACGCTGAAGATCAAGATATCGATAGTGATGAGCAGAGACGGGGGTGATCATGTCCATGAGAACCGTGCTGGCAGCGATAATGTTGCGGATGATGCAGAAGACTCCTGAATTCTAACACAACTCCGCCCGCTTCTGCTGTCTGCTGCGGCCGCCGAAAAAGTGATGCTGATGCTGGCATGCATGCTGAGTGTGGTGCTTGCTGCTGCTGCTGCTGCTGCTTCAAGGCACCGGCAGCTGACGGATGATGGTGGTGCTGACGCTGGCGATGACGATCCCCTGGATCATAACTGCGAAAGTACGATGGTGGTGATGCTGATGATCGTGACGATGTTGATGGTGATGGAAGTGATGTCGGCCATGATGTTTGCGATAATGGTGACCAAGAAAATACAGATGGATCTGTTGGTAGCCGCCCAGTACCGTTGACTGACATGTCAGACTGTCGCAGGGTCAAAACCAGGGCAACCGACGGAGTTTTGGCTCCCAGTCGCTATACGGCATTAGGTGCTGTAGCCAGGGCCAATGAACCGAACCGTGTGGAGGATGCTTGTGGCGTCCTTGGCCTTTTTGGCCTTCCCGACCACAGTGCACGCCAGCCAAGGCACGTGCCAGTGCGATGGCATCGCCGACTGGGACGACCCCAGCTTCGGCAGGTGCGACTGGTGGGGCGACGTGCACATCACCAAGAGTTGGAATTCCCCGGACGTGTTTGACTTCCAGTCCCTGGGCGTCTACTCGTATGCCTCAACCACCAAGTGCGGGGGAGACTTCGAAATGCAGATCTTCCAGTGCCCCTACAGCAAGAACGGCAACGCGGTGGCCATCGGCGTCGCAGTGAAGCTGAACAACGGGGACTTGGTGATTGTTGCCAACGACACGGTG